ATGATTCTATGATTCTATGATTTCTCCTTTAATTCCTTTCTTTTGCTTCCCTTCCACTTTTTAGCCCTAAACTAAAAGCTTTTACTGAACTTTTCAGGGGTCAAATTGTGGAAGATACTTCTTACTTCTTATGACTTTCAAAGTATTGATGGCTGGCCATCAGGCCAGTGTGTATTGAAGAGCCAGCTGGCACATGCAGTGCATGGAAAAGGCTATAGCAAGTCTTACCAGCAGTAGCTGGAGAGCAGAAGAGAGGAGTGGTAAGAGAGGTTGCCTTGAGAGAAGAGGGAGGAGTTGAAAGCATTGCACTGTTGGAGTGGTTAAACATGTGAAAGAATCACTTCTGCTGCTTACCAAATGACTTGTTCAATTACTTCCACCTTTACAAGAATTATGCAAGCCATTCATCCTAAATAGTAGATTCTGCTGACAATGAAGTACTTGACCTGAAAAGCAGCCAGTATTTTGTTCTAATAGTTAGCTTTATAATGGCTAATCATACCTTTAAAATGTTTCATTTAGAAAAGTGATCTTAAGTTGCTTCCTAGACAGATCTTAATGTACAGGGTTATTTTTTTCCCACATATTCCTGCCTCCTTACCAGCCCCCCTGATTTCTCTAAGATTTTAAATTATTTCCTCACTTTTCCAGAACAGCCTTTAAAAATATCTTCTTTTCATATGTACGTTAGGGGCCTGTAGTTCATTTATTAAGTTCTAATATTTAAACAGTGTTATCAGAGAAGACTAGCATGTATTTAGTGCATGAAAGAGGAACCAAAATATTTTAAGTACTTCTGAGGCCTAAAGTTTTAGGAAAGGAGTCCCAAATTCAAAACCATAGTGTTGTTTTGCTCTTGTGTACCCCCTACCCCAGCCCCCAATTGGTAATTTAATTGTTCTATTGGATCACAGTTGGGGAAATAGTTATCATATAGGGCAGGCAATGCTTCATACATGTAAAGATTGTGCTGACAATGCAAATTTTGAATTTGAACTTGCCTTCAGCACTTCAGAGTGCCTTGGATTTTAATGTTTCTCTGTTTACTGAATTTTGAATTACTTTTTTTTTTTTTTTAACCTGTCAAATAACTACAGCCACAGTAAACTACTGTAAAGAAGTCAATGTATTCTAAGTTTATGGATTACTTTATGACACTATCTTGCACAAAGAGGCCATACAGTCTGCCACAGGACCGTGTGTCCCTTGTGTGATGTCTCTTGTGATACACAGAGAGTTCTTCTAAATGCCTTATTCCAGCAACACTGACATTTTTTCCATGAGAACCTTTCTACAGTTAGCCAGTCTGGATAGTCAGCTGGTCTGGTTTACATATGCTGTATCTTTGAACTGTTTTATGGTGTTGATTATCAGTCCATGTTGTTTTGCAGACTTTGGCAGTGGTTTTATAAGTGTTCCAGCACCAGTATGGGAAAGGTCAGATTCCAGAGGAGCTCTGGAGTTGCAGGAGCACGGGATATCACTTTTTCCGATACCATAACAAAGAAACAAGTGAAGTTCATGTAACTGTATTTCTCAGATCACTCAACTATATTACTGAAATAAGAAAGCAATTGAGTGACTTAAAATGTTGCAGTCTGGCAGTGGAGGCAGACATATGGCCCCTGTGCCGGGTGGCTTTGTTTAAGTGTTCTTCAGGACTATATGCTGTGACATGGCTGTCTGGAAATAGTCTTGGAAAACTAGTATAGATTCTTGAGTTTCAGAACTGAGAGTTAGGTATGGGAAGGTAATAAGTAAACTATGGCTTGTTTTAAGGAAACCAATATCACCTTTCTTAAATAAACCATTTTATAATTGTGGGAAACAGTGTACGGTCCCTGATAGTCCTTCAGTGACTCAAACATTATGTAAATATCAGGAAAAAGTTTTTGTGGTTACGAGATGGTTAAGTAGTAGTTGAAAGAATTCATGCTTATCCGTAAAGCTGAGTGAATAAATAGGATCAGAATGTGGAATGGGATCAGATTTAAGAACTGAAGAATCTTACAGAGTGTGTTAATCTGAAAGGGATGACACAGACTGTTAGTTTAGTAGTCTTTTTTGACTGTGGATGAGATTATAATCCGTAAATTACGTGGCTGATAAGGGCAGGAAGCTGTACAAACATGGTTATGTGTAAGGCTCCATGAGAAATCTAGTGGTTTGTGGCCAGAAAGTTTGGAAACAATTTGTTCACGCTAGCATGTGACCAAAAGAGAAAACTGGAAATATCATACTGGTGTATCTACCTAGTTTTGTCAGTGGTAATGTTAAAAGCATAGTTGATGCTAGCTGGTTTCATTTTGGAAATGTGGAAAGATCAAAAATGTTGCTTATAAACATTGTCAAAGAGAGAGATCTGTTCTTCTGGTTTCTGGATTGGATATGTCTTGGATAATGAAGGATTAGAAATTTATACCATCTGACAGCTGCATGATTTAAATAAATTATTGTTTCTTCTATTTAATTTGATTTGGTTTATGTCCACAGTATCGGAGCAGCCACAATAAGCAGCTGTCTTTACAGTCTTAATGGCAGAGGCAAAATCAGTGAATTAGTACCTCCTTCTAACCTCAAGTTGAAATATCATCAGGGTCATTGTGTAATGGGCAGATTAAGATAACCATTCAGGTTTGTGATGCTTCGAAGGCTTGCATGTTTTGCTTAGCACTAAACTAATATGGTTGTACAACTTTTAGGTTAGAGGTGGCTTAGAGAAGGATGGAGCAGACTGCATAGCAAAATTGTTACATTTGCTTAAATTTTGCCTACCGACCTGCTCTGCTTTCTAGTAGTTTGCTGTCTGCCTCTGGCCATGTGCATGTCACTATCAGTTGTAGTCCCTATAGCATATTCTCTTTTTAGCTACTTATTTAACAAAAGTCAGTGATCTGACTTAAGACTCTCTCATCAGGTCACTCTTTGAAAAAAAACTATGTTGTCTGAGGCCTAGCAGGCGTCTCCTCTACTTGCTTCTTTTCCTGTTTCTATATCTGTCAGTGAGACTCTCTGCGCTATAGGATGCTTTAGCTTGAACTACTGTATATGGTGGCTATAGGGTGTCCTTTTTCCTTTAAGACAGAAAGTCTCCACTGTCTAATTTCACAAGTTTGATCTTATTTTACCTGCACATATTGTCTTATAAATCTTTTCTTTAAAGTATCTTTTATGAGAAAATCAAGTCTAACTTGCATTATGTTCTGAAGATTATTATATTTATTTGGATCTCTTCCTTTTGCTTTGTATTTATGTGTGTAGACTGGTGAAGACACCATTAACTATAAGGTCTGAGCTCTTGTCAAAAGTGTGTCCTGGTTTATAAAGCCACGGGGACAGTTTTAATCAAACACCTGGTGGGCTGAGGCAGGGACAGGGAGGGTTTCACTCACCACTTAGGGTCACGGGCAAGAAACCCACATGAATTGGGAAGAACAAAAAAAACCAACTGAATTTATTAACTATTTACAACAAGAAGCAAGATACTGAGAGAGAGAAACCACATCTTAAAAAAGGCACTGCTCCCCACCCCTCCCTTCTTCCCAAAGCCCAAAGGCTTTGTTCTGAACCTTCTCCCCCCTCCCTGGGCAGCGCAGGGGGGCAGGGAATGGAGGGTGCAGTCAGTCCGCCGCTCCTTCCTCCTCAGGGGAGGGCTCCTCATAGTCTTTCCCGGCTGCAACGTGGGGTCCCTTCTCACGGGGGAGCCCCCCCCCCATTCTTCCCCAGCCACAACGTAGTGTCCCTTCTCACGTTGAGAGTCCTTCTCCAGAACTTCTCCAGTGTGAGTCCTTTCCCAAACGGGGCTACAGTCCCTGACGACGGCCTGGCTCCGGCATGGGCTTCTAGTTCCTGCGTGGGGTCCTCCACGGCTCTTCACCACGTGGCAGGGGAAATGCTGAGAGCGTTCTCTTCCATGGTTCCGACTCAGTACCTGCATGGCTGTCTCTTTCAGCATCTTTCTTCTCTTTCTCCGCCGTCAAAGGTCTTCATCGGCTCACAGGGAAATGGACTCCCAGGCGAGCCATGGCAGAGGCTTGGGCTACGGCAGGTCGGTTTGCAGAAGCCAAGCAGGCGGCTGGGCCGCACCCCCACATTGTTCCATGCCCCCTCTTAAATATGTTATTCGCAGAGGCACAGGTTGGGTCCAGATCGGTGGTACTCCTCCCCCCGCCCCGTTACTAAACCCTTGGAGCCAGGGGGTGGGGGTTAACCCTTAACAGTCACTTACAGGAGCCACCACTTGCCAGCCCCTCCCTTGCTGTCAGCAGAGCTGGAGTCCAGGGAAACCTTCAGCAGCTACTTACAGGAGCCATTACTGTGGCCCCTCCCTGCTACCAGACAAACCCACCACACAAAACCACAACAAAGTGAATCCTGTCAACTTGGATTCACTTGGTGCTAGAATTCTGCCTTGGCTTTACACAAGCAGAAAGCACTTGTTCTGCAGATTGCTAGAAATCCTTGCATACCTGTAATTACCCTAATTACTGTGGAGGAAAATTTTATTACATTAAATACAAGTATCTAATGATAAGTTATCTTCATTTTTTTCTAGTGGGTTTTTTGTTTACTTTAACAATTTGCTTGGATACTGTCTTATTAAGTGAAAGACTATTTTAGCTACTGCTTTTTCCATCTTCTTCCCTGCAAGTTCACATATTCCTCCCAAATTCGTTACATTTCTCCTACACTTGCTTAAGAGGAAGCATTGGTCCTTACAAAAGAGAACATATTTGCCAAGACAGATATTATCTGTCCATGTGATTACTTGTTTGTATGTTAGTTTTTGATCCATTCCACGTGAAGTAAGGGTTTGATGGTCTGGTCCCAAAAGGGTATATTCAGTGGTTATTCAGCACTAAATCCTTTTTCAAACGGTTATTTAATGATTTTTAAAAAGGCTTTTTCTGTTCCTTTGCAGTCACTCTTGGAAGCACATGATATTGTGGCTTCAAAATGTTACGATTCTCCTCCTTCTAGCCCAGAAGTCAATAATTCTTCAGTGAACAACCAGATTGTTCCAGTAGATGCTATTCGTATCCTTGGAATTCACAAAAAAGCAGGGGAACCATTAGTAAGTAACTGAAGATGAGTGTGTCTTTAAAGTGCGAGTGAAAATGTTTGCGTGTGCCTGATTTCTTGCATTATGTTTTAATTATTTCCGTTGTCATGTTGTGTAATTTAATGGGTGATAAGATCAGTATCAAGAGGTTGAAATAAAAAGATACTTGTGTGTCCTCCATCCTGTTCTCTGTAAGAAAATATGGGATAGTTAATGGGCAGTCGCTAGGCTGAATTACTTGCTAGCATAACTAACTAACACAACATCTGTTTGGTCCTGATACAAAACAGGATTGCATGCAATCAAGAACAACACAGTCATTGTTCAGTTGTATGAAAACCTTGTCTGAAAGCACTTTTGTGTCACCTGATGCATATCTGTATATTAGGAACTCTTGCACTGTAGTCATTATTACTGTCTGTTGTCCTGGGGGTATCCCATATTAGAATATCCCATAGCTGTATATTTTTGCTTGAGATAATGGTAAGGTAAAACGAAATTGAAATTCAAACAATGGTAAACTAGGTGTCACGTACCTTTTTCAGGGTGTTACGTTTAGAGTTGAGAACAACGATCTGGTAATAGCACGAATTCTTCATGGCGGAATGATAGATCGACAAGGACTTCTGCATGTAGGTGACATTATTAAAGAGGTGAATGGCCATGAGGTTGGAAATAATCCAAAAGAGTTGCAGGAACTGCTGAAAAATATTAGCGGCAGTGTCACTCTGAAGATTCTCCCCAGCTACAGAGACACTGTTATTCCTCAACAGGTCAGTAGCACATTTCTAACAACTCTGTCAAAAGAACTTTTGCTTGGTACTATATCGCATAAGATTATTTGAAGAATCTGGATTAGACATAATTTGTTTATTTTGCGTATTAATGCTAGCAGGAAGGCTAAAATAGGTACATTTTGGAAATGGGTTTATTCAGTAGATTAATACCAGACCTGATATGGCTGCCTAAAAAATTCTGACTAGTATATGATTGTATACTACACAGGAACTGTGTTTCTTTGACATCCAGTGACCTCTGATGACTTAGCCGCAATCACACTAAACGGCAGTGTTCATAACGTGATCAGTGTGCAAGTTAAGCTGTTTCATAGAATTGAGAAACATATTGAATTCAACAGATGAGCTTGTACTTGCTGATTTCAGTAGGAACTCAGATGGTGGCTATTCCTTATCCTTTTGTTGCTGCTGTAGGCTGTCAGTTTCTCCACTGCAGAAGTAACTTGTTGCTCTAAATTGGTGCCTTTGAAACGTCTTGTAAGATATTCCTTCAGGTAGTGGATCTTAATGCCTGTAGCTATAATAGACTATGCTTACATTGAGTAGAAGCTGTGTTTGAGGCAGGTGCACTGCTTCATTTGCTCAACAGCCTGGTAGAAAAAAGTCAAAGCTCTTTCCAGTCTACTGACGCAACTTGCTGTTTCTTCCCCTGCATGAAATTTGAGTCTTAAGCAGTCAGGTATCATGGCTTTTTTTAACACATTGAGTTTATGGCCAAATTGATTCTTAAGATTCCACAAGCTTTGAATACAGTCCTCACATTTATAGACTTTTTTATATTTTTAAGTAATTTGAAGTCAGAATACTAATTGAGTTGTATATACTGAAATGCAAAAATAAGTGTTTTGTAATACATTGTCTGAATGGAACAGTTGGGGTTTTATTTTTATCATGAAGCTCTTCCAGCCAGGGTTTGCACTGATGATTACCTTACTCTCGCAGCTGGTATATGCAATTTTTTTCCATAGATTGTATTTTACTTGCCAAATGCAACTTTGATCATGTCAAACTTTTTATGCTGTAAAGACCTTACTTCAGTTTGACAGATAAATTAGTAAGAATGTATTTTGTAATGTTTAAGCTTTGTAAATTTTTACACATTTCAGGTTTTTGTGAAGTGTCATTTTGATTATAATCCATATAATGACAACCTCATCCCATGCAAAGAAGCAGGTTTGAAATTTTCTAAAGGAGAAATTCTTCAGATTGTAAACCGGGAAGATCCAAATTGGTGGCAGGTTGGTAAAAAATATTTAAAAAATAAAATAAAAATCTGAAAAGTGTCACTAGTTGCCTTAATAATAAACTCTTTAAATTATGATCTACTTCTATTTAACAGTTAGGTACAAGAAAACATATTTACACTGCAATACAATTTCAACCTAAAGCAAGATATTAACAACTGAAAAGCTAGAGAAAATGGAATGTTATAAATTGTATATGTAACGCTCATTTTGCTATTACCGCTATTTATTTGTCTTTGTTCTTGTATCATAAGCCTAGACATTCCAAAATCAGTTTAAGTGGACAATTTCTAGCAGAAAGTGTCAGGTTGACTCTGTTAATTGTGGTAAGCCTTTCCTGACAGCGACTGTGGAAGAAGTGGATCTTCCCGAGTGCTCAGAGTTGAGGAGAGAGAGACAGGGAAATTAAATCTGTGGATTTGAAGAGGGCTGAGAATAGATAGCTATTTGGAGAAGCTGTATCTTTTATTTCCACAGTGGTGGTCAATGTATGTGAGCTGTAACATGCATGTTCATAATCAAAGTGTTGGCACTATTTCAAATATTAACAGTTCATCCTGCTTTAAGGCTGTATTTCCACATTCAGTCCTTCAGTAGAAATGTAATCCTGTGCTTACGCTGCTTTTATATTTTCCAAGACAACTATGCACACAATTAAACATCATCAGTGCCTTTGACGAGTGAACTTTTAAGACACTTTTCTCAACTGAGATACTGAGAAGTGCAGGTAGCAGTGCCAATCTAGGCAAAGAGTTTAGCATTATTTATTTCCCCTTCTACCCCTAAATTGCTTACCCTTTGCTAGGTAATAAGCAATAGTGAGCCAAAAATTGCTTGAGACTGATATATGTATTACCTCTTTAAAAGCAACAAAAATACTTGAATATACATCAACAACTGTTGCTGAATTCTGCTGCTTGTCAGTGACAGTAATAATGAAAAGAAAGAGAATAAAAAGTGTGAGGGAAGGCAGAAAATTTATTGCTGCCAAGTTAATTAGTTTCAGCAGTTAGATGCTCCAGAACTCTGGAGTAGTTTGACATTTAGCTTACATGGCGTCTTCTATATTGTTTTCAAATTCTCCAATTGTAACTTGTGGGAGTTCAGGAGAAATAACACTTAAACACTTGATCAGTGGCAAAATGAAATGCATTAAACCAGTATAATGTGTTGCAAGTATAGCTATGCAGATCATGCCACTGTCAAAAAAGTTAGTTTTTCCTTGTGCTTTCTAGAAATGCTAGACTGTTACTGAAAACTTGCTAACTGTAAAAAATCAGTTAGTGATAGGTAAAAGCATACAAGTTGAAAAGCAGACAGTTCCTTTTAGCAAGAGACAGGCCAACCAGTTATGGAGAAGAAAAGAGGAACATTTCATAACTGTGTGTTCGTATGTGTTAAGCTTCCTGAGAATTGAGCTAGCCATGAAATCATTTTATAGAGAATCTTAGCCAAACTTTCATTGCTAGTAATACTTAAGTTACTAAGCTTTTAAACATGTAGTTACTTAGTGCAAAAAGCTTGAAGGCATGATTAGGCCTGTGTTACTGGCAGTCACTCTTTGTGAAATGACAGTTAATAAGCTGCACTAGAACCTGTTTGGAACAGCTCAAGAATACAAAATAAATGTACTGTATACTTGAAAGTCTTGAGTTTCGAGAGTTCAGTGTCTGGAGACATAGAATTCCACTTATTTTGATGCCAAATGTTTATGGCTGTGGGAGCTTCCTAACTTAATGGGAACCAATAATGAAACTTGTATCTATTTTATTTAAGTTTCCTGAATTTTAATACTCAATGGCAAGACACTGTTACTGTAAGATCGAATTTTAATACACATCTGAGTTTGAATTTCCAAGTCTCAGCAGTAAATGTATCAATACTCACCACTGAAAATCTCTGGCAGTGTGAAAGTCAGTCAACACCATGTTGATGAGAAAAATGTTTCTCACAGGTTACCTATGATTTTTTTTTTCCCCCCCAGGCTAGTCATGTCAAAGAAGGAGGAAGTGCAGGGCTTATTCCTAGCCAGTTCCTGGAAGAGAAGAGAAAGGCCTTTGTTAGGAGAGACTGGGACAACTCAGGTGAGATTTAATTTCAGGAATAGAATTTGCTCTGACTCCATTTGTTTTGCTTCACCTGCCTTCATAGATACTAGAAAACTGCTGTGTGAGAAGACACAAAACATTGTGAAATACTAATTATTATATTTTGGGTTTGACTGAAGGACAAAGGCTAAAGTCTATGCATAGTCTTCATAGATACGTGAATCAGTTTTGCCACCTGCTGATGAAAAGCTAAATGAGGTGGGAAAGGCATAAGAGAATTAGCTCTTTTTTAATTATGTTTTTAAAGTACGCACTCGAAGTTAATAAATTGAACATGTTTTATGGAATTTTCTGCTGCTTTTTACAAAGCTTTATAGGAAAATTTATTTTTTTCTCTGTTCGGCTCTTAATATACCATTTGATCTGTATGAAAATAGATGCGATCTCCTTGCCCTAGAATATGTAAAATTCTAAAATAGTCCTTGTAAATGTAATTAATCTGAAGTTGCATATGTTCATGTAAATAGCTTTGGAAAAACACACTTAACAAAAATGAGTTTGTATCAATTTTTATTTCTAGGGCCTTTCTGTGGAACAATTAGCAGCAAAAAAAAGAAAAAGATGATGTATCTCACTACAAGAAATGCAGGTATCTCTTAATATTACGTATGAGTCAAAGATCTCTAGGCTTCTGAACATGCAGAGTCCAGTATATCTAATGCTGAAAGATTTGCAGTAAAATATTTGATTATAAATTTGATAGATCAAATAGTTTTTATGGTTTAAAAGCAATAATGACCAGTGAAGTTATGGTGGTGCTGAGTACATCTTTTGGTAGCTGGAAGTCAGAGAAGAATCGTGTGTTAGAAGAGAGAAAAAGTGAAAGCTTCGCTGCCAGCAGGTTGAGCGATGTGATCCTTCGCATTGGTGAGGCCACACCTGAAGCGTACTGGGATCCTCCCCAGTGCAAGAGAGACACGGACATATGAAGATGATGAAGGGAATGGAGCATGTCTCCTATGAGGAAAGGCTGTGGGAGAGCTGGGACTGTTCAGAGAGGCTCAGGGAGTATCTCATCAATGTGTATAAATAACTGAAGGGAGGGTGCAAAGAGGATGGAGACAGCCTCTTTTCAGAGAAGCCCAGTGACAGGACAGAAGGCAACAAGCAACAACACAGGAGGTTTCCTCTGAACATCAGGAAACACTTTTTCCACTGTGAAGGTGTCTGAGCACTGGCACAGTTTGCCCAGAGAGTTTTTGGAGTCTCCCTCCTTGGAGATATTCAACATCCGTCTGGATGTGGTCCTTGGCAACCATCTCCAGGTGGCCCTGCTTGAGCAGGGGTTTGGACCAGATACCCTCCAGAGGTACCTTCCAACCTCAACCATTTTATGACTCTGTGAAAGCCCACTAATTGTTAATCACAGTTTTTCCATTCTGATCAATCCTAAATTTTCTCCTTGGAAGTAGAGGTAATAATCTGACCTTATGCTGTCCATGAAGGGGTAACTATTTTATTTCTATACCAATTTAAAGCAAGAAAGCAGACTTAATGCTCTTTGAGTAGTCTTTATATTCACATCTGGTCTGTCGATATATAGCACGACTGCTTGATTTTTTTTTTCTTAGAGTACTGACTGTGTATTGACTATTTTTTGTACATTTCTCAATGTAGAATTTGATCGTCATGAAATCCAGATCTATGAGGAAGTAGCCAAGATGCCTCCTTTTCAGAGGAAAACACTGGTCTTAATTGGGGCCCAAGGAGTGGGGCGAAGAAGTTTGAAGAACAGGTTTATAGTACTGAATCCTACTAGGTTTGGAACTACAGTGCCATGTAAGTTGTCAGCATTCCTATTGTAATATCTTTGTCTCTCTGATTATCTGGAAAATACTTGATATTTATCTCAGTGATCCAGGGTAGAAGTAATTTTGTCAGAGCATAAAAATTATTTAGAGGGGCAAAACAAAAGGTTCTTCATCTTCTCTGACACCTGAACTAACATATGATGACAGTGAAAATACTTGTAGCTGTCAGTTAAATGTTATTGATGCTGCAGAAAAACAATTTTTGTATGTGCAGTATTTCAGTCTGCTAGGTTTCTTCAGTGTCAGTCACCATCGGCTACTGACGGGAATCTAGAAGTTCCTAGTAGTCTTCTATAATGGACAGCCAGTGGATTTTCTCATGTCTGCCGTTTAATTTTCCATCTGTAGAAGCACCCTAGGCATTATAAATTGTTACTTT